AAAGAAAGAGTTCAGGTACCAAGGAACCATAGTTAATATGATATAAGACATGGCAGCTTTCAGAGATATCTTGGAATATGAAATTCCAAATGCAATGGATAAAAGCTTGCAACCAATAACTCATTCTGTGAAACAGTGTAATTTTCCTATGGAGGAAAAATGGGCCTTTAATAATGTGCTTGGCTTTCAAGCATTACTGACAAATAAAAAAGATGAAAAAAATCTAAAGATTAAAATTTAGATAATTTAAAATTATTAATATGTAAACAGACATTGAGATAACCACAAAGTCAGGGATGAGGGGGTGGCCATGGCAGCTCAGTACTCGGGTTTGATGCGATGGACTTTCTCGGAGATCACCCTCTTGCTCTGGACCTCTTCTAGACTCCTCTGTACAGCAGCAAAACAGAAAAATAATGGCCAGAACTTAGAAGACGACTTGAATCAAAATGAACAGAAGACAGACAGTACCTCTACAGAAAAGACACTAACTGAAGACAAGGTCAGATTAGAAGAATAGCAAGAAACCTGGGAGAAGTACAAGCGAGCCTTAGCAGATTTGGAGAACTTGTGAGGGCGAAGCCAGAAATTAGTAGAAGAGGCAAAATTCTATGGCGTTCAAGGTTTCTGTAAAGATTTATTAGAAGTTGCTGAAATTTTGGAAAAGGCAACAGCAAGTGTCCCAAAAGAGGAAATAAAGGAAGAAAACCCTCATTTGAAGAACCTGTATAAGGGTCTTGTCATGACTGAAGTCCACATTCAAAAAGTGTTCAAAAGGCATGCTTTGCTCGAACTAGATCCTGTTGGTACCAAATTTGATCCCTATGAACATGAAGCCTTGCTCCATACTCCAGTAGAGGGGAAGGAGGCTGGCACCATTGCACTAGTAACCAAAGTTGGGTATAAGCCACATGGGTGAACCTTGAGACCTGCTTTGGTAGGTGTTCTTAAAGAACTGTAGCAGTCTAACTTTCTAACTCTTTCTTCCCCACACTCAAATGTATACAGCTTATTAGATGGATATTTTCTCCTTCAAACACTTCTAACATTTTCTCACTCTTCATGGAAGTAACCAGTGGCTCAACAGAAAATTCACCCAGTCTTGAAATTGCATTGTTTAATGAATTGGATAATTTGGAAAGTTTGCACAATTGATTTAAGTATTGCATATCTAAAGAACAGAGCCTCTGAGGCAATCTTGTACTTCTATAGTATCTTCAATGATGTTTTTCTGTTAATAACCCTGGCTATTTGAAAGGTATGTTCAGTGAATAATATGTCTCCAGGAATTCTGCAGTGTGACTGGCCAGACAGATTTATGGGGTTGTTTTTGTTTTTTATTTTATCATTCTGGAGTTTTTTTCTTTTGTACTATGAAAAGGTTATGAGAAAAGCTCTTTGAAATTGATAAAATGACTAGATCAAACCAACAGATTTTCTCTCCGCAACAAATTTTATAATAATCTTTGAGAGAACTGTACTTCAGTTCCTTGTTTATGTTGCTGTCTTGCTGGCAAAAATTTTGGTGGCTTCTAGCTTTTCCTTGGGGTACACTGATATGTATACAGTGCTGTTTATTCTGAACCATTATGTGAACTCCAAAAAAGAAGCTATTTAAATGATATCTAAGTATTACATATTATTCAACTATCACTAATAATTTCTCCAATATTTGGGTTTTGTTTCAGACCTTTAGGTAAATAAACCATTGTTAGTAGTCCTTTTCATGTTTACAGTTATCATTTTGCCAGTTAAGCAATTTGATTTGGCCCTGAAAATCTGGGGAAATGTTTGCAGCCTTTTAGAGTGTTATATTTAAAAGTAGAAGTATGTTGAAATCAGTGTCTGAAATAATCTCAACAAATGTATTTAATTTTACATTCCTTGGTAAGTTCTACTTTCCCAGAGTTTAGGAACCAAGTACTGGGTGAGCTTTTTAAAACATAGTTTAAATTTATTATTTAAAAGGATTAAAGCCCTAATTTGCACTAAAAAAAACAGAGATAACCACAAAGGTAAATAAATCTGAACTTTGGAAGGGGGCACACAATGATGAAGTGTTTATATCCTATTAAAGCAGACAAAACAAATATTCTTCCAGAATTTTAATATACTCAATGGTTATTGGAGTTAAATGAGACAGAAGGTCTGGGTGATTTTGTTCTCTTTTGTTCTGTCTTAGAAGACAGAAAAGAGAAAAGAATGTCATGGGAAGAAAGGAAGAGGAAGAGGAAACTTAGTATCTCACATAATACGCTGCCTGAGACGAAAAATATATTGAAAGAGAGGGAAGTTGTATGAATACAGACGACCCATGAACCTCCCTCTCATCTGAACCAGAAAGAAGGATTTTACACACACACACACACACACACACACACACACACACACACACACACACACACCCCTTACTTGTATTTGTAGCCCCACTGTATAGCACAGTGCCTGGCACAGTGCTTTAGCTATTCATCTCTGTAAAGAAAGAGGCAGGCCTTTGACAGCACTCGTCCTAACTCCAATCACCTTCTCTATCCAGTTAACCATCAAGCTGCCTCTTGAGAAAATAAAAGGGAGTTAAAAATTAAACTGCAAAAGTAAAATAAACTTTAATCTGGAAGAGGTAAAGCCAAAGTATCTCTAATGAAACTGAAGGTGTTACCTGGTGAAAGTTGTTTGCCACCTAAATCCTGTATGATGCTGAGAAAATCTCGGTGAGGAAAGAAGGAGCATTTGGTTCTTCCTCAGGTTTGTCCTTAATATTTTCTGAATAAAATGTCCATTTTGGATTAATGGGACCTTCCCCCATCCTCTTTATCTAAGCAATACCTAATTAACTGAGCCTCTCTGATAAAGAACTTTATTCAAAGGTGAGAGGGGAATATTATGCAGCTGTGACACCGATTCCTTGTATTTTACCCCCTCAAAAGTAGGTAAAGAGGAAAAATAGGAGAGGGAGTGAATGATTATTGTCATGGAGGTCAGTGGTTTCTAAATCATAGCGACCTCTGGCTTAGAAACATCTCCAGAACACATCATAAAAATTCAAGGTCACTTTTGGCTCTTAAGTTCTACTTACAAAATGCCAGTGTCTCCTGGGATGATTCCTTTAGACATCTAATTGAGTCCCTGAAAAAGGTCTTTTTGATTACCAAGAGACATTTGGAAGAAAACAGTTTGGTGGGGGTAGGATACCAGACAGCCAAAGTGTGGTACGGGGAGAATGAATGTGCTATTTTAACAACAGCAATAACACAGGTAGTTATTTTAAAATTCTACTGCGCTAGCTGGAAAGGGAATCAGAAAATGGACAGCTGAGATTGGAAGAGGAACAATAGCCTTGAAAGAACTGAAGAACCAGCGCTATCCAGCCATTATGTAATGAAGAGACCCATGATACCAGAAAGTAAGAGGAAAACCGCAGACATATGCCATCTGACAGTCAGAAACCAAAGTCCAAAAATGAGACACTCTCTGTCATTACCTGAGCATCTAAGTGGTGCAGTAGATAGTGTCGAGCTCCAAGCCAGGAACACTCACCTTCCTCAGTCCAAATTGACCTCAGGCACTTACCTGCTGTGTGACCCTGGACATGTCACTTCACCCTGTTTGCCTCAGTTTCCTCACCTGCAAAATGAACTGAAGAAGAAAATAGAAAACCACTCCATTATGTTTGCCAAGAAAACCCCAAATGGGGTCATGGAAAGTCAAACTCAACTGAAACATATGAATAACAAAAAGTAGCCTGATCAGAGCAAGGCATGACAAAGAGAAATCCAAAGTTGAAGGGAACAGGCCTATAAGTACTTAGGATGCAAAACTGCCCAAGTCACTTAGAGCTGCTGCCTGTCAGTCAGGCTCAATGTCAGCGAATTCTACTTGTCTCTGATTGCCTGGGGCCATAGGTTTTAACCCTGGAAGTGTGAGAGGATAATCTGGTTCAATCCTTTCATTCTACCCAGAAGGAAGATGATGACTAGAGAAGAGCAGTGACTCCTCTAAGGTCACAAGGCTAATACAGAGCCTGGCCAAAGCCCTCTCACTCCAGATCCAATGCCCTTTCCCACTCTACTGCTCTGCCCCTCTAAATACATTTAAATTTAAATGAATACATTGAGATTTAAACTGATAACAGTTGAATCTTAGTGAGGAAGGCAGGTACTTATGCTCAACCCTAGCATGATATAACATTTGTGCTAATGATAACTAATGTTTATGCACAGCTATATTAACAACTTGTTTATCTAATGTCACAAGTGTAACTTCTTTCTTGATTAATTACCTGCACAGGAGGAAAAACTTCCTAGCCCACAGGGCAATACCCAAAGAATTAGCGGCTATATGGACCCCTTGCTATCCCTTGAGCACAACACTCTATATTCCAACTCCATGTATTTGTCCTGGCCGTCCCCTATGTCTGTAATGCTGTCTCTCCTTATCTCAGTGCACAGGCTTTCCTGGCTTCCTTCAAGTCCCAAGTAAAATCTCAACTTCCCCATGAAGCCTTTCCTAACCCCTCTTAATTCTAGTGCTCTATTATCTCCCATTAATCCTGTATATACTCTGCATATACACTACTGTCTCTCCCATGAGATTGTGAGTTCCTTGAAAGCTGGGACTATTTGGGGTTGGTTGGTTTATTTGTTTCTTTGGGGACTGGCATTTCTTTGTATATGCAGTGCCTGGAACACAATAAATAAGCATTTAATTAATGATTGTTGACTAACTGACCATTTGCACATTTAGAAATGGCAACTTATGACAGTTCAAAGAAACATGCCCAATATAAAACAGCCTCTGGAATGGTATTCATACATATTTAAACATGTAGAGGACAGCAAACATCACAGAGTTGATTATAATTTACATGTATCAAAATGCATCTTAGATGTTGAAAATATGAATTTCAAAGCCCAGCATGTGGGCTTTTGTGGTGGTGGACAATGAGGATGATTGAGAGAAAAGTACCCAGATGCCTGAATCATGAGAAAGTTTTATTTCAGAATTGCAGATGGCTGTGGACATTGTTCTTTCAGGAGGTGAAAGTCAACCCCTGGGAAAAGACCAGCTTGATGGAGTCTTTGGACAATGCCAACTCCTGTGTGAGGGAGAACAATCCAGAGGAAGAGGAAGGAAGGAAGCAGCAGCACCCAAAACGAAAAGTAAGGTCATAAAGTGCCATCCTTGCCACTCAAGCATGACTGCCTGAAGAGCTGTTGAATTCAGACTAATTTATTTCAACAAATTTATTGATTATCTCCTGGATGCAAAAAACTGTGCTAGGAACTATGGAAGATGTAGAGAGGAATAAGAAACAGTACTTGTTCTCATGGAATTTTACAATTGAATGAATAAATAAATAAAATTATATTTATTAAGTGCTTACTATGTACTGAGCACTGAGCTGAGTGCTAGGGATACACATACAATATCAAAGACAGTCCTTGTCCTCAAGGAACTTACATATTATCAGACCAAGACAGCATGTTAAGAGGAGTACTGGTCAAAAGAGTATTTTGGTTTGGAAATGATCACCACAATAACTAGTACTTATATAATACTATAAGTATTATCTCATTTAATCCTCACAACCTTGCCAGTTCATTATCCCCATCTTAGAGACAAAGGGCTGAAGGGGTTAAGTGACTTGCCCAGGGGGTCACATACGTATCGGAGGCAAGATTGGAACTCAGGTCTTCCAAGTCTAGCATTCTATCCACTATGCCACCTAACTGTCAAATTTAAAGAGGGTATTTAAATAAATTCATGAGTGTAGATTGACACACACTTCACAGAAATAATGGCAGTAAGAATTTGACTATGGTTTCCTGAACTAGAAGGCCAGTGGGTTCAAAGGGTAGCAGAGAGAACACTCAAGGTTATGTTCTCTCAGCCATGGTCTCAGGTCTTGGTGGCAAAATAACTGAAAGAAAGACAGGAGTAAAGTAGAAAGAAAAACTAAGATAGGTAACAAATGACCATAACAGATGAAACCAAGTATGGTAAATAGATATAGTAAGGGATAGATATAGATAAATAGATATAGTAATAGATAAAACAAAACATAGTCCACCACACCACTTCCCAGATATCTCTATCCTTTCTAGGATCTGCCTCAATCCAGAACTGAAGGTCCCACCCCTGTGGTTCTGGATTCTGACTGGCAAGCTCCTGCCTGGCCCAGTCTCAGGTTCATGGCCATCTTCATACCTTTTGGTAGTGGATATACTCCTACCCCCTTCTCATGAGCATTTCCACTCTACCTCTAGAACAGCAATTAAATGGATGCTACCATTTCTGGGAAGGACACATGAATCAACCTTCCTCTTTCTCCAATCATCATTCTCTCTTGACTTCATACTCCAAAACACTGCTCTCCGGCTATTTCTATAACTTGTCTTCCCATATTAGAATATAAGTTCCTTCAAAGCAGGAACTGTCTTGTTTTTATGTATTTAGCCCCAGTACAAGCCTGGCACAGCACGTGATTGATAAATGCTTTCTTCATTCATTTATTCATTCGCTCATAAAAACATAATTTATGGCATATTATAAGTGTCAGAAGACAGGTACAAAGAACGTACTTTGGGGATTTCTTATATCATCTGCAAGTTCTATTTCTATTTTCAGGAATTCCAAAATTCCATTCTTTGACCACTATTATTGGTCCTTCTATCTCTAGTGATGCCTTATGACCTGTAATCCTATTTTTCCTCACCATAACTTCTAAAACCAACCCCAGTTCTTTTACAGGACATTGCCCTTACATTGGCTGTACTGTTCTCCCTTCCCTATATTCACCTCTTGGTGAATCAGTTTACCTCTACATAATACCTACACTCAATCCCTTGCCCCTTTATCTGATGGACAATCACACTTGCCAAACCCACCTTGGTTACTGACATCATCATCATCATCCTCTTCTTCTTCTTCATCCAGAACAAAATTATAGCTAACATTTATATAATGCCTAGTATGATCTAGGCACTGTGCTAAATACTTTACAAGTATTATCTTATTTGATCCTTACAATAAACTTCACAACAATCTGAGGTGCTATAATTATCCCCATTTTACAGATGAAGAAATAAGGCAGAGAGGAGTTAAGTGATTTGCCCAGATTCACACAGCTAATAAGTGTCAGGAAGGTATCTTACTCTCTCTCCTATCTTCTTCAACCCCTCCTCAGCATTTTATAAAAGCAGGGGCTTGACATGTAAATGAATAAAGAGTTCTTTATTCTATCCACCCTAGTGCTCCATCTGGTGTTGAGCATGTATTATGTGCTCAGAGAACTGGAATGACAGAAATTGATCTGACTGATGAAGTAAATTAATGACAAAGTTAATTAATGGTGAAGTTCATTAACAATCCCAGTTCAGTGTTGTTTTTCATTCATCTTCAAGTTATTAGGAATCATCACACAGGCACTTCTGTCTGCCTAGGATTAGTCCTACAGTTTCCAGAAAGAACAGAAGGAAGGACAATGAAATCTAGCTCTTAGTTGAAATAGTGTGTAAGGAAGGCCACATTCAATTCAATAAGTCCAAAAGGAAATCACAGATCCATACAAAAAGTTCATTTGTGAGAAGCCCCTATCCTCAAGATTTAATATGGTCCCTGTAAACTCAAACTTTGTGGAGAGAGAATAATTCAGGAAGAATGTATGAACTGTGCTGTTGATGGGTGTGCTTACAACTTCTATCAACATCTTTCGATGAAAGAATAAAGCTTTATATTTTAACATTCAAAACCTTGACCAGCTGCCTACTAGACTATTTCTAGGTTTCATCTCTCTCTCTCTCTCTCTCTCTCTGTCTCTGTCTGTCTGTCTGTCTGTCTGTCTGTCTCTCTCTCTCTCTCTCTCTCTCTCTCACACACACACCCACACACACCCACACACACACACACACACACGATGGTTACTTCCTACCCCACCCCACTTTTGAGGCTTATCATTACTACTACAACAACCAGTTCCTCCTTCTTTGTGAAAATAAAGTCCAGAATGGAATTTCCCTTTATTGCTTCCTCCACATTTTGAAAGAACAAATTCTTATCAAGGCTAGTAAAAACTAATAATAATGAAACTGCTCTGTTCAGGCAGAGATTTCCATCAAATGTCCAGATAATCAAAGTCTCCCATGACTACTTGTACTTGCCTGTGGACCAAGCTTCTGACTTGTTCCTCAAATTCCTTCTTTCTGTCGAAGCAGTTTCTCGAATCTACTCAGATGACAATATCAGTTCTAGTTCTACCAAAAGCCTATGCTTCTTCCTGATTCTGGTACTAGATTTCTCCCCATGCATCTCTTTTGTTTAATCCTCCACTTCTTCCTAACCTTTGAATTTGAATTTTCTGCAAAGTTCTTTCCCTCATCCTCCTCACTTATGTTTCTATACTTTGCCCCTCTGCCAAATATATTTGCTTCTTTGGACTTAACCACATCCAAATGATTCCCAATTCTATATTTTCATCATCAACCTTTATTTTGGGCCACAGACATGCATCTCCAACTGTCTATAGGAGACCACCACCTATAGGACATTTCCACCTATTGGAATGTCTCAATAAGCATCTCATACTCAACATGTCCACATCCAAGCTTATTCTTGTTTCATCCTGACTTCATTATTTGTATCAGTGATTCTACATTCATCTGACATTCTGTGTTTCAAAAGCAATATGTCATCTACCACCCAACTCCACTTCTCTTTTCTATAATACTCTTCTGTCTAGATGGCAACCAAAAACTATGTGAATCTAAATAGAAATGGAACAATCCTATGGGAAACTTTGTGATTTATTTTTTGTTTAAAAGAAAATTAGTCTTTATATACAACTACTACATGATTTTTGTCTTGGTCTATCTCTTGAAGGTTTCTGTTCAGTAAGATATGGCACGGCCAACATGATACATTTCTGTAATCTAGTAACAACCACACAATTTGCCAGTATGAACATTGCCATCATTGGCATGGTGAACCACACAGACCAGTCAAATCAATCCAATGTTTCCACAAAGAGACATCCTGGTGCCGCTGCAGATATACGGGTAAGTCAATGGCAGCTCCAACTTTTTCCATTCATTTAAACAATAGACATTTCTTGTACCTACTATATATGAACCATACATTGGTGTAGAAACTAGACTAATAATAAATTAGACAAGATCCTTGCCATTTAAGAGTTTTTGACCTAATTGGTAATACACGTATATGTGTACTGTTAGACTAGATGGACAGTGAGATCTCTTTATAATCTAAAGTTCTCTGATTCTGGGACATTAAAAATACATCAATAAATAAGAAATATCAGAACGTAGATATGTAAGCATTCAAAATTCTCCAACATCTGATAGGGGAAAAAATCACATAAGGGATAAGCTTCATGGATGATATGCCTTTTGAGTTGAACCATGAATGTCTTAAGGACTGATATCAGGATGAGTAAGTATTGGTGAAGGGAATATTGCCAATGAAGGGACAAAAACGTGAAACATGCCATTTTCAGGAGATGGCAGATAGTTCAATTTGGCTAGAGTAAAGAGTGCGTAAGGGAATACTGGAGGCGGCTACATAGAATGTAGTCAGGAACTAAACATTGGAGTGAGGAAGACCTGAATTTAAATCTGACCTCAGACACTATCTGTGTGCCCATAGGCCAGTCACTTAACCTCTTTTGGCCTCAGTTTCCTCATGTATAAATGAAGATAACAATAGCACCTATTTCTCAGAGCTGTTGTGAAGATGAAATGAGATAATATTTGGAATTGATCTAGCTATATGAATACCGTCTATTCTATAAGGCAGAAAATGTAGTTTGGAACTAGATGCTGGACGGTCCTGAAAGGCAGGTATATTAACTATATTCACAAGAGAATGGGGAGGCATTAAACATTTTTGAGAAATGGAAGGACATAATCAGTGTTATGTATTAGGAAGAATGACCTAGATGGAATATATTGGATGAAATTGAAGGAGAAAGGAGAAAAACTAGGGTCAGAGAGAACAGTTAAGAGGTTATTGTAAGCCCCTGGGAAGAAGTGAGGGCCTAAAGTGGAATGCTGGCAGTACAAAGAGAAAAGAGAGGGTAGAGGTAAGAAATAATGTGAGGAGAGAATACAAAGAAAATACTACCCAATGGGAACTATGTCTGAAGGACATGAAAGAGTCACAAATGCCTACAAAGCTATGAGAATGCCTAAGTGTTTGTAACTAGGGAAATGGTCATGCTGTTGATAGAAACAGGAAAGACAAAGAGAAGCCAGGAGATTTGAAAGAGTGAGTTCCATTTAAGAAAAGTTGATCTTGAGCTGCCCCTTTGTTGTTGTTTGTCTTTCATTCTGTAAGAGGACCATGACATCAGGAGGACAATGCCATGACTTGCAAGGGAATGGGGGTTAAGTAAGGGAGGGCTGTGCAAGGTCACCAGCCTCACTTCTTCCTCTGGTGCCATCTGGGCCCAGTGGCAAGATATAAAGACAAGGGAGATGGCTCCCCTCACCAGAGAGTGGATGGAAATATCTAGCAGGAGCTGGGCACAATCATGGAAGGAGATGCAAGGTTCAGAGCTGGAAAAGACTTAAAGTTCACTGTGCCGAGGGCTTCTTAACCTGAAGTACATGAATTTAGTTTTTTAAAAGTATTTCAATGAATGTATTTTACCATAATTTGCTTCCTTTGCAATCGTGAGCATTGTATGCATTTAAAAAAATTTTTTTGAGGGGAATCTAGGTTGCTCAGTAGATAGAGTTCTAGCCTTGGAGTCAGGAGGCCCTGAGTTCAAATGTGGCCTCAGACACATGACACTTACTAGCTGTGTGACCCTTGGCAAGTCACTGAACTCCAACTGCCTCACTAAAAAAAAAGGCCAAAAATATAAAAATACAGTTTTGAGAAGGGCTTCCTAGGCATTGCTAGATTGCCAAGGGGGTCCACAAAGCAAGAAGAGGTTAGGAATTCCTGATCTAGTTTAATCCCTTCCTTTTGTAAGTGAGGAAACCAAAGCCTAGACCAGGTAAGTGATTTGCTTGATGGAACAAAGCCAGGATTTGAACCCAGGCCCCATAAGTTCAAAGATGGCACTTTCTTCACCCCAGTGTAGTGTTATTTATTTAGGACTCGACTGCATAGAAGTTAGAGTAATAAGCAGCAATAATGGAATGAGTTCACCAGGGGCAAAGGGCAAGGGAGAGAGCAGAAGAAAGCTAAGTAAAGACTCATCAGGAATGCCCACATGTGGTGATCAGCAGGAGAAAAGAGGATGTAGAGAAAGAGAAGATGACAATGTGAAAGGACAAGGAGAATAATACCTCATGCTACAAGCACTTATCCATTAGAGGAAGGAGGCCCTCAGACACAGCAGTCAGGTTAAAGTATAATTGGTCCAAGAAAAGGTTCCTCCATCCAGGACCATAAAGGCAACAGCTCCCTGGATTCTGCTCCACTCAGACCACATCTGAAGTATTGTATATGAATCAGGAAGCTTCATTTTGAACAAGACAGATAAGGTGGACAATATCACCAGGAGGGCAACCAGAATGTTGAAGGAGTCAAGATCATGCCATGTGAAGACCACCTGAAGGAACTGAAGATGTCCAGCATGGGGAAAGAGAAGACAAGTGAATGATGATAGCCATCATGAATATATGTGAAATCCTTTCATTTTGTGGAGAGATTAGACTTATTCTCTCTGGATCCAGGAAATAGAACTTAAAGCAATGGATAGAACTTACCAAAAATATGCAGATTTAGGCTTAAGATAAGGAAACCTTTCCTACTATCCTAACATTGTTTTCTAGGGGCAGCTAGGTGTTGAAGTGGATAGAGCACTGGCCCTGAAGTCAGGAAGACCTGAGTTCAAATCTGACCTCAGACAAAACACTTGATACTTTCTAGCTGTGTGACCCTGGGCAAGTCACTTAACCACAATTGCCTAAAAAAAGTTTTTTTCCTAAAAAAAAAATTTCCCCTAAAAAAATGAAGACTAATAGGCTGCCACAGGAGTCTTGAATTGTGTATGTGCATGTATCTAAGTAGCATTACTGCTGTTGTTGAGTTGTTTCAGTTATGTCCAACCCTTCACGACCCCTTGTGCAGTTTTCCTGGAAAAGATACTGGAGTGGCTTGCCATTTCCTTCTCCAGCTTATGAGAAAACTGATGTAAACGAGGTTAAGTGACTTGCCCAGGGTCACACAGCTGGTAAGTGTCTGAGGTGGGATTTGAACTCTGATCCTCCTGACTCTAGGGCAGGCACTCTGTGCTGTGGTGCCACCAGTAAGTAGTTTTCTACATTACTATTACTATAATTGCAGAAGGTTTTTCTTTGACTTATCCCAAGGATTTCAACAAGTGTCTAAATGTAGCTCAGTCATCTTCTTCCAACATAATATTCCATTCCCCCACCTTTGAACATTTGTTTTGACTGAAATGCATCTTTGCCTCTTTGAGTCCTTAATTATTCTCAAGCCCCAATTCTAACACCACTTTCTCCATGAAGCCTTTCCTGATGATCTCCTATCATCTAGAGTCTCCCCCTCGAATTACCTTGTACGTATTTTGTATACGCTTTTGTACAATATATACATATTGATCTCCCACTGCTCCTCCCACTCAACCAGGCTTACATTGTCATCCTCAACGTATCACCCAGATTTCCTCCACATGTCCAACTTGCCCCCAAGTCTCATCATTTCTATCTTCACAACATCTATTCTACACATCCCATTCTCTAGACTCATTTAGTCTTGTGCAGGTTCTCATCCTTTACACTGTGAATATTGCAATAGTGTTCTTGTGGATTTCCCTGCCTGAAGCCTTCTTTCTACTTTTCCAATTTTTCTAGAGTTTACTCACACCCTGACCCCCCATGCACTCTAAATCTAGTTATAATGGCATTCTTGCTCCTCAAACTAGCTCTCTCTCATACCTTAAATATTCTTCCTCCTAATCTCTGCCTCCTGGATTTCCTGGCTTCCTCCAAGACTCAGCTCAAAACCGAACTTTTCAAAGAGGCCTTTCCTGGCCTCTCCCCATTTCCTTCCATCTATAAGTGAGTCATAGTGTGTAAGATAAGAAATATGTACTAAGTGCTTACTATGTGCCACCCACTTTGCTAATCACTGGGGATATAAAAAAAAGCAGCAGACAGTCTTTGATTCTAAGGAGTTCAGAGTCTAATAAGTGGGACAACATGCACAACTATATACAACCAAGCTATATATCTATCTATCTATCTGACAAATCAGAGGTAATCAACACAGCGGAGGCATTAGACTTGAGAGGAACTGGGAAAGGCTCCCTGTAGGTGAGATTTTAGCTAGAACTTGAAGGAAGTCAGGAAAGCCAGAAATCAGAGATGAGGAAGGAAGAAATTTCAGGTTGTGGAAAGCCAGTGAAAATACTCAGGGTAAAGAGATAGAGTGTTTTCTTCAAGGAACAGCAAGGAAGTCAGTATAACTTGATCGCAAATTACAAGGGGGAGAGTAAGGTATGAGAAGAGTAGAAAAGTGGGAAGTGGGGCATGTTATTAAACAGACCAAGATGTCACTTCCAGATTCCAGACCAGTCTAAAGCCTGCAGGGAAATAATCAGGGCAGGTCTGTTCCTTTGAACCAGCAGAGCTTTCCAACTAATTGATAGTGGCTGAGTACAGTAGCAGTATTATGAAACTCCAAAAAAGGCAAATCCAAAGGTGTGTTGCTTGGATTCAAACCTAGGTTAGAAACATGCAGTGCTCACACTAGGAGGTCAGAGATCAGATTTTGGTACACTGGAAGCTCTAAAACTTTACAGCTCACCAGACTGAACTGTACTCGAGAGATTGGAAAAACACAACACTCAATACCCCCAAAAAGGTAGCAACAGAAGAAGTCCAGACATTCTCTACAGATGTGTGTAGAGCCCAGCCCTAATATCAATTCTAAAGTCAGAAAGTAGGGGAGAATAACGGGCAAACATAGAAACCATATCCTACCATTAAAAGGTATACTGTTGACAAGGACAAGACACAAACTTCGGCAAGTAAAGTCTCAAGGAGTGATATAAATTCAA